ATAGGACTCTGAAAACTCTGAAAACATCACAGACAGTGGGACTCGGGTGTTACACCCATTGTAGACAGTCATGACTCACAGAGTTATTTCAGAGGAGATACTTGATTTCTACATTTAAGTGTGAAACATCACAGATTAAGACTTTAAATCCAATGTGAGCATGTATTGATCGCTGTGCATGTTCAGAGTCTATCTTTTGAGTTTGGTTCCAAACAGCAAAACGACCTAACTGGGTTTTTCATTTTTTTTTTTTGTGTCTTGAAATTTGTAGAAGCTAAGTGAGACTCTCAACCTGGATATCAGAATTTTGTATGGCAAATGTTCAGAGTGTGTTAGAGATGATCATTTTGTCTAAATAAAGGCTGCAGCACCGGGGGTCTTTTGTTTACAGCACACAGCTCCATCATGGCAGATTACACCGGGGATGAAGTACCAGCAGGACACTAAGTAAAACACATCTCGGCTGGGACGCCCCGAGTCAGTCACCCCTGCACAATGCATGAAGAGGTTGTTGACACCGCGGCGCTCCAGCGCTCAAATACGGGGAAGCCAGCGCTCTTGCGAGGCGTCGGGGTCTCCAAGCGCCAACGCAGAGCGAGGGGAGGATAGAGAGGCGAGGGGAGGGTACTCATTGAGTTTCATTGTTGACCCGTGACTCACACCCGGGGACAGTATAAAAACATACAGCTAAAGAGATTGGCTGGGAGGCAAAGTTGGCCCGTTGGGAGAGGGCGATAGTGAACTCTATTACAGTAAGTGCAGATTGAAATGGGAAAGGCGGTGCGGGTTTGAATGTGGATGAGAGGCTTAGTGTGATAGGAAGCTTTATGGAAGTCATACGGTGTCTATATGAAGTGGCTGGGGTGAGGGGCGCCACACATAAACACAAATACAAGCTGGCTTTCTGTTCTGATCGGGGTGTTTTTGTCAAGTGGCGATTACAAAATGCCTGAAAATGAGATCATTCAATTCAAAGTGTGAACACTTCGTTCACTCTGCACAGGCTGAACAGGAAGTGCTGTGGGTAATAAAGAGGAACTACTTAATTGGTGCACTTTAATCACTCTGCCGTCATTTCCCCTCAGGTACTTTTAATTTCAAATTCTGGATTTTTATCACCTGATCCTTGTCGGGGAAATTAGTTTTTTTTTTCTTTGCTGATAAAGATCCACCCTAACACAGAATTAAGATATGATGAATTCATTTCTCAAATGAAAAAAAAAACAATATCATTGAGTAAGGATTATGACAACATCTACATTTATAAGTTGGTTCATTAAACAATACTACAGATAACAACGTGATATGAATCATTATTGCAGCACACTTACTTTACTCTTCTTCCTGCTTTGTGTCTTTAAGATGAATTTCAAACACATAAAATCCAGCACTCACGTCGTGTCATTTAAAGTCACAACAACCTTCAAGATGTTGAAGATCTTTCCCATGATTATATGTATTTATGTGCTGCTGCATTTTCCCCACCCCCAACATTGCCTGTTTTTGCAGCAGAACATCCTGGAAGAGGTTTTCTTATTGCCTTTTTTTGCAGAGAGCTGGTATATAACAGCTCTGTGTGTATGTGCAGCCCTGTGTAAGAATAATGAGACGTCAGAGAGTCAACAAGAAGGAGAAGTGTATCTTCTCAAACAGAAGACTTTTATTTATCTCTGTGGTGAGTGAGATCAGGATATCATGTTCAACATTTATCTTAATAAAGATGTTTATTAATGAGAATATGTATGCCTCCTCGTGATTGGAGGGTCAAACAGTGATGTACAGTTTAACAAGCATCAGTTTCAAATTAAATAAAGTCACTGCACAGCCTGTCATTCCAGTCCTACCTGGTACTTATTGGTTCATTTATTGCTTATATTATTATCTTATTATTTCTGATTCTGAATGAACACCCACCAAGCGCCACGTGTTGGCAGATTTTCTGACCTCAGAGGGCTGCTCGCCTCCAGCAGGTTTAGTTCTGTTAGAATAACTATGCCGAGTTTTTTTTGCATGTTTTGTTGAAGTTGCAGCTCCTCTGCTGTCTACTGCTAACTAGCATTAAGCTGATAAGCAAGCAGCGACTATAGGATAACTTCAAATGACAGTCACACAGGTCTTTGGAAGTGTTATTTAGAAGACATCAAACGTTCTGGGAGATGCAGCGTTTCTGTAGACAAAGACAAATCAGTACTGTGCACATTTTTTTCTTCAATATTAATTCAATTACCAGTAAACTTTTTCTTGAGTGATTTACTAAAAATGTAAATTCTGGTGGGTGATTTTGTTTTGCTGTTTGGAACCAAACTCAAGTGATTTTAGAAATTTCAAAAAAAATCAGAGAATCGAAAAAGACCAAGTACTTTGAGTTTTCTGTTGTACCTTTCATCACACTGATGCACACAGCCACTAGGTTTTCATATTAACAGAGTCAACCAAGCTTCAGAATTATTATTTTATTTTGGCAGGTGAAAAATAAGCTCGGCCGAGAAGCTCATCTCACCAGGTGAGTCAAAAAGTGAAATCTAAGTGAGATAATGATAATGCTAACTTTAGCTCCAAACTAACTGTACAGACATAACACTGGTTTCAATCTTTAATCTCAGTGATAAAAGCAGGAGTGTGAGTGTGTCACAGTCTATAGTTTCATTTACTATCATCACACAGAATGAAACGTGCTTCTAAAAACACAATTCAAAGGCTTGCTGTGGTGAGGGATGTTAGAGGTTGCAGACATTGAGGTCAGAACATTGTACATTAATTAATTTCCTCCCGCCTGCAGAAATTATCGTATTAATCTCTATTAACCGAGGACAAAACACTGGCTGTGGAGCTGTAATTACTCCACCACACCCTCTAAATGACACACTGCATGTTCACAGCCTTCACCATTGTGCGCTTACACAAAGATAGAAGTGATACAGATGATTACAGTGTTTTCACGCCCAAACACAAACAGTCTCATGAGCTCACAAATACTCTCTAATCATTAGACTTTTTGTAGTTTTACTTTTAAATTGCGTCAGTTTAGGAGCCAAAAGAAAAATAAGAAATAAAAAAACAATTGGGAAAAGATTTGAAAGGTGCACAGTTGTTATTCTTTTATAATTACATGATGTTTAATTGAACACCGTGTCGACATACATAGCTGCTGCGAGTGCTTAATGCATTAATCCAGAGCTGAAACAATGTCAATAGAATAACTTGAAAGCTTTTCATTAACTCCCATAATGGATGCAGCCATTGTCCAAAGCATTTATGAGACGCATATTGCTGCAGTCATTAAAGAAAATGATTTCATTAAAGTTGTACCTGACTGGAAAGCTTGAAAGTGTTGTGTGTGTGTGTGTGTGTGTGTGTGTGTTTAAACTCACACAGTGGGTATAAGAGGAAACTATTGCACAGTGCTGTATGATCCATGTTTTGCACAGAAAACAAGCTGAACTCGTCTCCTGCAGATCTTTTTGTTTACTCCCCCCTCCACTCTGATCTGATCACCAGTCTTGAGCTAATGCTGCATCGGCTCTGTCAGTCATTTGTCATCAGCTGGTGGCAGGTCAGGTTTCCTGTCGCTGTGATGGACGTGCAGCAGCCGGGTTCATAGATCAGCGCCGCGTCTATTCCTCAACGCACGGCGCCTCATTTTGTTTGGAAATGAAAGTCTTTATTATTGATTTTGGCTCTGACTGTACATCCGTCTCCAATTTGTACCCCATCCCTCCTTGTCTTAAGCACACTATATTAAGCCCACTATCCATCTCCAGGCCTCGCTCATGTCTATGCATGCAAGTGAATTTTCAACTGTGTGTGTGTGTGTGTGTGTGTGTGTGTGTGTGTGTGTGTGGGTGGCTGAGTGGGTGTGATGTATGGTTCTTACCTGTGCTTTTAAGCCTGAGTGTTCCCACGGGCACAGAACACTGGTAAAAACACTTCCTTCTATGTTGGATTTATAAATGGTTTGTGACCTGAGGTTAGTATTAGGTTGGAATTTTTCCTCACTCTCTAAAGATTCAGAGGTGGCTGTAATCATTTTAAACGGGTGTAAAAATACCAGGTTTTAAAGCAAGAGAAAATATTAACAAATAAAACAGCTTTAAAAATGTTGCTTTTGAACCATCACATCTTTGTACCCTGCAAACATATTTAATCCACCCATAACACCCTCTAATTGGTTCACAGGAGGAACTGATCATGTTAGTGACTGCTTGTTTGTCAGTGAATTACAGCCGACTAACAAATAAATATTGGCTTCAAAAAATGGACAGAAATGCTCCAAAACCTTAAAGGACAAAATGCCTAAAATGTTTCATTTCCAACCTCCGCTCTCCACTGAAGACTGACAAAGCAGCAGCCAGTGTAAGCTCAGAGCTCTCTTCTATTCTAACAGTGACCTTAAAAGGCGTATTACCTCGACTCGTTCTGTCACGGCATCAAGAGAGCACCAACGACACTTCCAGCACGCACACTTTTATTTAATTTGACTATAAAAAAGTGAAACCAGCGCTCTGTGTTTAAGAGCTGGGTTAATGTCTTGATGGTAGTGGCTCCTGAAACAGACCTTGGTAGCAAAACACAAAAACTACACATGGAAGTCTTACTCCAGCAACAATACATGTGATTGCATGAAGAGTGTTTGCAGAAACTTGAATGCATCACGAGGTCTGGGTGGGACTATTAATGATATTAAAATGCTTCACTGTTAAATAAACTTCTCAGAAAGGCCTTGTCCAACTTTTACAAAGAACATAAACAAAAGTCAAACCGCTTCATGAGAGTAGGAAGAAACTTGGAAGACAGGCTGACACATCGGGCGTCAGGTTATAATCTCCTGACGGTGATGGGTACAGATAATGGTTATTAAAACAAAGGTAAAACCAGGACAGGGTCTGCTCTGATGCTCTGCTCTGATTACTGATATGTTGACTAAGCTGTTTTTGAACCAGAGGGTAAATTTAGCTCACGTCTGAGACACTAAGGGAGGAAACCTGGAGGGGAACACTTACTTCCTCAGTGATGAAATCTGATGGATTATGAGTGGTGATCATTGAGAGCCTTGTTGGTCAGAAATCTGGAAGGATGACAGCTTGAATCGGCCCCCGAGCCTAAAAGAAAGAACAACAAAGTAGAAGGAAAAAGTAAATTCTGTGAGTCCGTTTGGGAAACATTCATTTACTGTTCTGATTTCAACGACAGATTCAGAACATTTGAACGCTAAGGGAAACGATAGCTCTCAAAAGGAAGGACGCTCGTCTTCACTGAAGTACCCACAGTGGGATTTATGTTCCTTTAGAATAGAATAGATGTTTATTTCTATTTGCACAGGGACAGTACAGGTACATTGGAATTATTGTGCGTTTCTCCCTGAGTCAGCTTCTACAAAAAGAAAGTTTAAATATATAAATAGAAAAACATTATAAGAAAAAAAAGAGAAGAAAAGTACAGTAGTAAAAATAAATAAGTGATTTAAAATACACTGTAACAGAAGTTATAAACTGTATTAAAGCAAAGATATAATACAAGAAATAAGAAAGGGGAACACTGAACAATGAAATGAAAATATAAATCTGTTTCCTTGTCTCTAACTTTCTACATCTCTTATTGCAGGTGATGTTTTACACAGATTATTCACAATCAGCACTGGGAATACGGGTTCCTGAAGGCATCTTCTGGAGTGTGACACTACTGGGGACTGTACACACACACACACACACAGTACATATGTCTGCTGTGTCTCTGTCTGTGCTTACAAACCTTGACGGTAATTCATCAGGAGATTCTCATTAGTGTCTCAAACTATTTGTTCATTATTGGTTCTGTCGTTCAATCAACACTTTTTTCCCTCCTCATTTGAAGACCTCCGTGCTTTAAGCTCGGCGTAATTACTTCCCTTGAGGTCGGACGCTTTACACTTCACCATCTTCAGGGGGATTTTGGACGGCGCCAAGGGCGTAGAGACAAAGATAGAGGAGGGAGGAGCTTCCTCTTTCTTCCCTCCACATGATAGCATCTCTTTCAAAACATCTTCCCAACAAAACGGCTTTGAGGGATTAACCTCGTCGACGACTGAACGCCATCGTCTCCTATTTGTTTATGAACGCAGCCCACTTTCCCTCTTGTTCTGTCTTTCTCTAACGCAGCAGGAGTTAATGGAATTGTTGTGATGGTGATGTATGGGGGATTGTGTGAGGAGACAGATGGGGAAATGTAATTACGGATGTTTCAGAGCTTCAGGGAGGGGGGGGGGGGGGGAAACTTGTCACAAAGGAGAGTTCACCAAACAAAGACAGCGCCATTCGTCATGGGAGGCAATAGTCAGAAAAAATTAAATCAGGGGGTTTTTACATAAACCGCTTTCTCTTAAAATTGTGTTTCCCCTCCAGCTCAACTGAGCAGCGTTCTGTCATGATGAAGGGAGTCGTGTCACGTGGCTCTGCAGAAACCTTTGTTGTTCCGCTTGGTTTGATTTTCTATCCTTTTCTACTTTCAGGAAAATAATGAAACAACCATTAGGAGTAACTATTCTGCTGTTCTTGTTAAGACAAGAGTGTAAACTTCCTCTTGAATGGATTTTATTAAACTGAGATCTGTCACTACTTACAGTCGTGCAGTGATTCTAAAGTTCACCTGAGGTAAAGTCATGCTTTACTTTTCCATTTAAAAAACAACATCTACAATGACTTCCTGATCTCTTCATTTCAAATGCCACATCAGCAGTTACATTTAAATGCATTATTCAAAATGATGGAGCTGCTTTTGGATTCTGAATTGTTTTTTTTGGTTGATGTTTCAGCATCTTCAGACCACTCCTTTTCTCTGGAGGATTAAAGAGTAGAGCACATGTTGTTTCAGCAGCTACATGAATATTCATTTAACAGTAATGTAGAAATGCTGCAATGTAGGTCATTTAAATAAAGTATTGATTACGTTATTGATGTAAAAGATTCAATCAAAGAGGAATGACAGAGTTTCTAAATGTTGTTTTAACAGTTAAAAGGTGATTGAAAAAATAACATCAAGTGATTTTGGGATGATATTTTCATAGATTTAGTTTTTTAACATCTTATTTCTGCATAGTGATGATCTTTATACTCTGTGTGTAGCACTTTAAGTTGCTCTATGTATGACCGTGCTCTATAAATCAACGTGTCTTGCCTACTTTAAATACGACTAGATGATAAACGTTCTTCTTATACGACGACACCCAGATTTCTTTAAATATCCTGAAGTCGTGCATTAAATTTCCCCTTAGGCCGTCTAAGCCCTGAAGCTTGTGGCAAAAAAACAGTGATGTCAGATGTTTTTTAAAGCCAATAAGTTAAAAAAAGAGCACTCCTCCCATAAATCAAAAGTTCTCAAACACACTTCTTTCTAACAAAACACTCAACGGTCTCACTGCTCATACTTATTTGTTGTGGTATGAGCAGTAGAATTTGTGGGCTAACTTTAGCTTATGTTAGCTTTCTTGCAGAATCAGAGAGCTGCTGACTTTGTCGTCTTTCTTTGGTACTTTTTAAAAAGGTTGTCATGGTAGCAGAACTTTAAACTTTTATACAATTCTAGTAAGAATCAAACAGATATTGATACCTGTTTGGATACTTTGGCAACAAAAAGACGAGTCCTAGGCTCTAGATACAGATAGATAGATAGAATCTTTATTATCATTGTATACAAGGACACAAAACTTTGTTAGCAGCAATCCTAAACAGCAGCGTTTACAAAAACAACGAGAGAAATATGCAAAAAGTGGCCAGAGCAGTTGCTGTTCAGTGAATAATGATTGATAATAATAAATAAATAGACAGTTGTGGTGACTGAAAGAGTATATACAGTTATTGTTTTGCAGTGACTGATTAATTAAACAAATATAAATGTAGAGATATAGTGCAAATAAGTGAAGTTATAGTGCAGTGACAGAGTATATAGAGTTATTATTGTGCAGTGACTGGATGAGTAAATAAATAAAAAGACAGTTAAAGTTAAAGTGCAGCGACTGAGTAAATAAACAGACGATTTAAAGCAGTGAATTACAAAGTTCACTTAAACAGCTAAACAGTTAGCAGCAGTTGGGTAGATATTGGGTAGTTTCTTCTTTTTGATTACAACAAACTGCATCTCCTGCACCCTGTCTGGATAACAAATACATGAGATTCTACACTTCCAGTGATGTGTCTCTCTTTGGTTAAAAATATGACAGGAGATCTGTAGTTCTTTAACTATCACTTAAAACATCTTATCACAAGTATCCACAGGCATAGTGTTTTACTGCTTCTTCCATAGCGTGTATTAAATCATCTGTTTATTTAAATACATATGGAGCTGTGGTCTGTTTCTTTAAAGTTTAACATCTGCAGCCTAAAATATTAGAAGCAGCTTTAGAATAAACATCTCCAGACAGCTTAAAGCAGTTTGCATGCTGCACTCTTCCATATTGGATGTTTCTCCTTCATCGCTATTGATTTATGTCTTTTTTGCTGAAGCACGTTTGAAAAACTGGGTTCTAATCTTGTGTCATTCATCTTGTAGAGGTGAACGTGATTCCAGAGAAGACAAAAGAAGACTAACTAGGGATGCATTGGTGATAAAAGTCTGACAAACAAAATGCCCCCAGAGGGAGTCGCATTTATAAAAACTGAAGGTAAACTCTACAAGAAGGAGAGCGTGGAGATACAGGACAAACATATTCAATTATGCAGAATCCATGACTTATTCATGGCATTACTCATCTACACAGAAACACGCTGCAGAAGCACAACATGTCCTGCAGTCTGGATTAAAAACTCAATGTGGTAGCTACTTTAATGAGAAGAAAAAGATGAGTAAGAGGATATAAACTGACATGAATGAGCCTGAATGGACGGACTTAAGGTTGTAAACTTGAGGAGAGGTCATGACCCTCTCAGCACGCTCCCCTCACACCACCCTGAAACCCAAACATCATCACTTCTCCCCCCCCTCCTTCCTCTTCTTGTCAATCTTCCTGCCCTCAATTTTTAACCTTTCCTCGGACATGTTTCACGGTGCGAGCAGAGTGGCCGCCAGAGCCGCGGGGAGGAAGAGGTCGCAGAGCGGTTGGCAGGTTATTTCGGGGGCACGATGGCAGTTAAGAGGTGATATTTTACTTGAAGCCAGCAGCAGTCGGGACTCCAGCTGTCGTATTACATCGTCACAGCCTCCTCACACTGTCTTCATATCACACTAGGACTGACATTGACACGCAGCACAGATTAAGGGCACAGAAGAAGAGAGTGACTCGAGGCTAAACAAAGCTATACTGAGCTACACTCTCATTAAATATACTTTACATCCATGTTGCTCAAACTTCAACACCTGCAGGGTCTAAATCATGTTTACAGCTGAAGCTCGCTGCAAAGTCATGTTGCTTTAAATTTCCTAAAGTTAAAACCAGTGACATCATTTGTGTTTTAATCCTTCAGAAGTCTCCACCTTCACCGGTTTCAAGAGGACATATGATCCCCCTCCTCCACCTTCTCAAACAGTCCTCCTCCTCCACCTTCTCAAACAGTCCTCCTCCACCACCTTTTCAAACAGTCCCCTCCTCCACCTTTTCAAACAGTCCTCCTCCATCTTTTCAAACAGTCCCCCTCCTCCACCTTTTCAAACAGTCCTCCTCCACCTTTTCAAACAGTCCCCTCCTCCACCTTTTCAAACAGTCCCCTCCTCCACCTTTTCAAACAGTCCTCCTCCACCTTTTCAAACAGTCCCCTCCACCACCTTTTCAAACAGTCCTCCTCCACCTTTTCAAACAGTCCTCCTCCTCCACCTTTTCAAACAGTCCTCCTCCACCTTTTCAAACAGTCCTCCTCCACTTTTCAAACAGTCCCTCCTCCACCTTTTCAAACAGTCCTCCTCCTCCACCTTTTCAAACAGTCCTCCTCCACTTTTTCAAACAGTCCCCTCCTCCACCTTTTCAAACAGTCCTCCTCCACCTTTTCAAACAGTCCTCCTCCACCTTTTCAAACAGTCCTCCTCCACCTTTTCAAACAGTCCTCCTCCACCTTTTCAAACAGTCCCCTTCCTCCACCTTTTCAAACAGTCTTCCTCCACCTTTTCAAACAGTCCCCTCCTCCACCTTTTCAAACAG